TCTCTCTCTTATATATATATATACTGTGTAACCGTTTGAACGCCGTGAACGCGCGTTCGCGTTCAAATGTGCGTTTGAACACGGATTGCGCATTCGCGTTCAAAATTGAACGGCGTTCAATTATTTTTTTATTGTTTTAAAAAAAATCATTTTAATGCCGAACAATAATTTGTTTTTTCTGATTTTTTTTTTATGAGTTCTGTATGATGTGACATGCACGCCTCTCAATTTTGGAGTCATTTTGCTAAGTCCAAAAAAAAATGAAAAATCGCCAAAGATGGCAGTCTCATATTGTGTTTGCTCACTAATTTCAATTCTTTTTTTACTTTTTTTAATTTTCTGTTTTCTATTTTTTTTTCCAATTTGGTAACGAATTTAGATGTAATGTTCAGGCAAATGTTGTTTAGTTTATTTTTCTTCATAACACTGTTTTTTTTCGGAATTTTTTGAGGTTTTTTTTTTTTTTTTTTTTTTTCCCCTGCGCGGAATTGAACTCCGCGTTCGGTCCCGTTCATTGAACGCGCGTGCATTCCGTTCAATTTCTGAACGGAAAACCCGCGTTCAATGAACGCGTGGTTTCACATTATATATATGTATATGTTTTGTACGTCCGTTCGGTAAGAAGGAGAGAGAGACTTCTTCGTCAAGACGTCCATACGCTGCGTCCGCATCGCGGAGGGTAGAGAGAGAGAGAGAGAGAGAGAGAGAGAGAGAGAGAGAGAGAGAGAGAGAGAGAGTCTTCTTCGTTCTTGGTTATTTTCTTCTTCTTCTTCATTTTCGGTCTACTTCTTCATTCTTCGTCTTCTTCTTCTTCTTCCTTCTTGGTGTTTTGCTTCTTCTTTGTTCTTCGTCTTCTTCTTCATCTTTCTTCTCTTGCTCGTCTTTCTTGTTCTTGTCCCGCTTTGTCGTCTTTCTTCTTCTTCTTTCGCTTCTTGTTCGTTGTAGGTCTCCTTCTTCTTCTTTCTTCTTCGTCTTCTTGTCCTYCATTCGCTTCGTCGTCTTCTTGTTCTTGTTGTTTCGATTCGTCATCTTCTTCTTGTTTGAGAGAGAGAGAGAGAGAGAGAGAGAGAGAGAGAGAGAGAGAGAGAGATGGTCGATGAAAGCGGCGTGGCGTCCCCACGTTCGACGGCGCCATTGCCGTCATTGTCTTCGTCAGCTGCGCATGGCGGGGGGGGGGGTTGGTGCGAACCCCGTTTCCGTGACGAATCCCGTGCCTCCGCCCGCCTTCCCATCGTCACCATCAGCGCCCTCTGTCGTGTTTGGGCAATCAAGCACGGACACTTCGTGCATAATGCGGAGGGATGGGGGGACCTTCCGCAAGGTCTGCACGAGCTAAATGGTGGTTGGGGGGGCGATCCAACGCGCGGTCCGATCGGTTGGGAGGCCATAGCCACGACGTACTTGCACTTCCCTGCATGGACATTCCCCCGTCCGCCAAACGGTCACCTGCTGTCCCCTCCCACCAGCGATGATGAAGGGGGAGGGGGTGACGATGGCGGGATGACGAAGGGGGATGGGGTGAAGATGGTGGCGATGAGGAGGGGGGAGGGAGTGCAGATGGCGGCGATGAGGAA